GGGTTTCACCGTGGTCTCGATCTCCTGACCTTGTGATCCGCCCGCCTCGGCCTCCCAAAGTGCTGGGATTACAGGCGTGAGCCACTGCGCCCAGCCGCTTTAATTTTTTTAAATGAGCCTATGTTTTTATACAAACCGTGAAATCATTGCTGTTAATCTCAACTATTGATCAGTAGTGTCATCAGTATTCTAATTGCTTCTTAGTCCTTGTTTTTTAAATTGTAGTGTTGACAAACACCAGAAAGAGCCCTTGACAATATTTTTGCAACTCATCTCTAAGGTATTGGCCACTGCCCAGAGGCCAAAGGCACGGGCTGTGGAAAACATCAGCTCTTGTAATACGGTGCCTTTGCCTTCTTATTGAATCATAAATGAAAACACAGTAGTGGAGTGGTGAGCGTGAAGTAGACTGACCTGAATCCCTGTGATGCTGATGGACGGGAGTATAGTGTACTGTGCTGTCAAATGTCTGAACCTAGTGAATGACTTTGGATATTTGGAGTCCCTCTCAATCTCTGCACTTGGCTGCTGCTAGTGCCTTTGACTTCCTCCATTGGGATTCTCCTCGCCTTTGCACATGCAATTCTCTCTTCTGGAGATGCACCATGCCCTCTTCCTCCTTCATCACCCAGCTCCTCCTCCTAGTGTTCAGGGCTTAGCTTTAGCCTCCTTCCCCTGGAAGGCCTTCCCTAATGAACTTAGGAGCTCCTTCTATATAACCAAAGGCACCGCTCACTGGTTTTGCTGGGAACATTTATAACCATTTACTCAGTGTCATGCTTCTTAGCAGACTGGCCTCAGGCAAATAGGAATCTAGTTCAGGAAGTGGAAGGTCAGATTTCCTCCTTGCTCCGTCTCAGCACATATTTCCTGTTCCTCTTCTGGGCTCTGCCAGAACGGTTCCTCCACTCTTGAGGCCTCTGCTACGAACAAACCCCACTCTCCTCCCTTCCTGCTACCCCATGGCCTCTTAGGTTTATTTTGTTCTCGGCAGCCCTCTTGGCTCCTGCTTCTGTTAGCAGCTACACCTTCTCTCGGTAATATTTCAAGTTCAACCTCACTGGGGAGGGTAGCTGTTTGGTTTAGCCTTTGTCCTCTAGCACCTGCCTTTCCTGCAGGGAGGGGCATTCCCAGCCTTGGAACAGGCCCCACCACGAAGGCCAGAGACAGTGCCAGAAGGAGCTGAGGTCTGTGCAGCCATTCTTGAATTCCCCCAGATGCCTTGCCTGGCCTTGAGTAAAAGGGAGATAAGTGAAAGAAGCATGTTACGAAGCAGCATGTACAAGGTAACCCTACATATGTGTTTTATATATCGAAGGAAATAGACCAGTTATTATCAGTGAGTTTTTCTGGTGGGATTTCTAGTTTTTATTTTCTTGCTTACAAAGTTTCTGTAATAGGCCGGGTGCTATGACTCTCGCCTGTAATCCTAGCACTTTGGGAGGCCAAGACAGGTGGATCACCTGAGATCAGGAGTTCAAGACCAGCCTGGCCAACATGGTGAAACCCCATCTCTGCTAAAAATACAAAAATTAGCTGGGCATGGTGGCAGGTGCCTGTAATCCCAGCTACTCGGGAGGCTGAAACAGGAGAATCACTTGAACTCAGGAGGCGGAGTTTGTAGTGAGCCAATATCATGCCATTGCTCTGCAGCCTAGGTGACAGAGTGAAACTCCATCTCAAAAAAAAAAAAAAAAGTTTCTGTAAAAAATGTTTTCGTAAGTACTAAATGGTATTGAAGCCCTGAATCATGGCATTGTACAGAGCAGCCCCCAGGAAGACGAGAGCCAATTGGCTCTGCCATTTGGAAGCATTGCCTTCTTCTCCCCACGATTCTCATTTCTGCCCCCAAATGATGTGTTTGTTGCCTTGCTCATTTCACCCGGGTGTCTTTTTCCTCCTCAGGTGACAGATTGACTGGAATCCCCTCGCACATCCTCAACAGCTCCCCATCAGACCGGCAGATTAACCGGCTGGCCCAGAGGCTGGGCCCTGAGTGGGAGCCCGTGGTGCTGTCTCTGGGACTGTCCCAGACAGATATCTACCGCTGTAAGGCCAACCACCCCCACAACGTGCAGTCGCAGGTGGTGGAGGCCTTGGTCCGTTGGCGGCAGCGCTTCGGGAAGCAGGCCACCTTCCAGAGCCTGCACAACGGGCTGCGGGCCGTGGAGGTGGACCCCTCGCTGCTACTGCACATGTTGGAGTGACGGTGCCTCCACCAACCGCTGGGGAGTGAGTCCCTGAGTCATGTGGCTGAATCCTGACTTTCACTCAGAGCAGGTGGTGTTTTGTGTAGGTTTGTTTTTTATTTTTAATGATCCTCAGATGGAAGGAGAAAACAAGGTTTCCACTAGACGTTATTTGAAAGGCCAGATTACTCAGCAGATCTCTCACGGTGGCTCAACAATTCTTTGTTTTTAATTGCTTGAAGATTGCATTGTTGTAATTGTTCAGTTTTTAGATGTGTAATGGCATTTTAATAGACTATTAAATCACAGTGGTTCAAAAATATATATATATATATCATGTCATCACATTACAAGCAGGTATCTCATATGTAAAACATTTACCTGAATGTTGTCTGAGGACTGAACTGTGGACTTTACTATTCATAATGATAAAATAATAAAATGTGAATTACTACATATCATGTGCCTCATTCATGAGAAAGTAGTGCATTGGGTTTTTTTTTTTTTTTTTCTTTCTCGTTCCTGTATTGCATAGATTAAGGGTGTAAAATTACAGTAGTCTTTTTTTTCTTTTTGGAACAGAATTCATAGTAACAGTGAAATGGTTACTTTCCCAAGTCAGGATAAATAGCTCAGGCAGGATGTCTGTATTAAATGTCGTAAGACACTAAAACTCCCTGCAAAGACCAGTTCAAGTACCAGCAAGCATACCTGAGCCCTTCATCTTTAAAAGATTGCTCAAGAAAATCCTGTGCTGTTTATTGAAAGCATTAAGTCGAGATGAGAGGGGATGTGGTCTTTCCACTGAAGCCAGAATGATTGAAGTGTTGTGCTCCTAAGGAGTGTGATTTAGTCTTCTGTCCTTTTATCAATAGCACATGGTGCTTATAGAATGCTTTACTGTTTTCGTGGCCTTTCCTGTATGTGATCTCATTTGGACCTCTCAGCCATCCTGAGTGGGCAGTGGGCAAGGTGGTTCAACTCCTTCTGTAGAGAGATTGAGCGATTGGCCCAGGGTGAATGAGCTTGGGCACCAGCTCCTGAGTCCTTTCCAACTGCTCCACAGGACTCCTCCCCTTCTCTCTTGCATGCTCACTGAAGAAGCTTGACTCCTGCTCCCTGCCTACTAGCTGTATGGCCTTGGACAAGTTACCCTCTCTACATCTCAGTTTCCCATTGGGAGAATGGGGAAATGACTGTACTCACCTCTGAGGTCTTTGTGATGATTAAAGCAATAATGTCCGCCAAGAGCACATCCAGATGCGGTTCACTGTCAGCTTTCAGGAAATGGTAGCTGTTAATTTGCCGCCACTGTGGCTGAAGGTATAGTTAGACCACAGGCAAAACTGAATAGTGGCTGAAAGCTGAGGGCACTGTGGGAGGAGCTACTATTGCCACATTTCTTACTAAGCTTTAAAATGGGATTTGATTTTATAAACTTTACAATGGAGCCAATCTGTGATCTATCCTTATTAATAATTATGGAATCTGTTTCCTAATTCTAACATAACTCAGGATTTTTCAAAAGGGAGGAAAAAAATCATATTTTTTATTTCTCTCCATTCCAAGAATAAGTTTATAGAATGGTAGAGTTGAACGCAAAGCGGGTGCTTAAAAAGATGACAATAGTATGTGGATAATATCCTTTCAGGCATCTTGTAACCATATTCCTGTTACTAAAAAAGAGCTGCTATGCCACAGTTTATTCTTTCAATGAATTCGGTTCAAAAGGATAGTCTACTGGCTTTATCAGTTCAAATTTTCCATTTTGTAGCCCAGCCAATAATTCATTATCTTGTAAAATTCTCGTAGTTGGCCGCCTCACTGCGCCCAGTGATAGACTATACTGCTGTGGCATCTTCAGTGAATCGCTTGTCATTTTGAACCTGGGACTTGTTACATTGCTGTCTTCCCCCGGGTTTCCTAATAGAGAGTTGCTCTGGCTTTTGTTCTCACAGCTCAGAGTCACATTCATGGATGAGTGAGTAGAGCTGGGCTCTGCTGCATCTGACTAGATGGCATTAGCAGGTCTGATGATTAGCTGGGTCATCTTTCCGCCATTCACCATTTGCAAGGAATCTGTCACGCATAAAGACACTTGTGGGCTCTGTCAGCAGTGAGAGACAGTTAGTGAAGAACAAGCCCATGATGGGCCAGACAGACAGGGCCGAGGGGGCCCTTAGAGACCTCTGACTTGTTGCCTGTAACAAGCAGAGTGTCTTCACCACCAAATGGCAGCAGCCCCTCCTTGGGCCTGCTCAGGTGCTTGCAGAAGGTTTGCAGAGTGGAAGAGCAGAGCAGCTGAATCCCTCCCTATCTTGGTCTACCTCTGGCCATGACGAATAATGCTACATGGCAGCTGCCTGCCTCCTAACAGAACTGGGGAGGTGATGAGCCTGCAGGGATTTCCTGTGTTTTGTATGAGAGAAGATTCTACAATTTCAGAGAAATTTCTTGTTTACCCCCAAGAAAACTGAATGAATGCAGCGAGGTGGCAAGAGCATTTGCAGGCACTGACAAAAAGTATATTAATATACAGTCTTGCAGCACTTTGGGTTGGGTTGCAGTGTGCGTGCGTGCGTGTGTGTGTGTGTGTGTGTGTGTGTGTGTGCTCGCGCGCATATTTGGGTCCATTTTTTGCAATCCATGACAGCCAATATTTCTAAACTGAGATTTCTGGGCCCTATTGAAAAACAACCTTTGGCTACTCTGGATCCCCGTCCTTGAATCACAATAACAGGCAAGCCTTTTCTATGCGTGAGTGTGGCCCTTAATATTTTTAAAACTATAACTTTTATTAAATTTTCTCAACATAAAATACATGTTTATTATCGCAGTTGGAAAAAAAAATAATAAGATGAAGAAAAATAAGAATTACCCCTACTCCCATCTAAGCACTGTACATCCCAATTTTCATCCCTGTCCTCCAATTAGTTTTCTCTGCCTGCATATTCTTTTTATAAAAAGAATAGGATTTTCTCTGCATTTCCTTATAAAAAGTGTTTTATTTTCCAAATGATAATACACATTTTTTTGTCAATGTGAGGACTATTTAGAGAGACTAAAATGTGTAATTAAAATTTAAATATTCCTCAATGCCATACTCCAAATGGTTATATTCATGGCTTAAAATTAACTAAATTAAGTTTTCGATTTTATAACAAGAATGGGATTATATCGTACCTGCTGCTTTACAAGTGGCATCTTTTATATAACATCAAACTGTCTTTCTGTGTTATTATTTCTCTATGCCAATGATTTCAACATCCTTTGTGTTCACCACACACTTTCAAGTCCTATAATTTTTGGTGGCATGTTTGAAGAGATAAAAATACACTTAGCTACTAAAAAGATGACAACAAGTATAGCAATGTCTTTCACTCTCAAAACCATTGTCCCACTTTTTGCTCCATCCCCATTTGGAACCACGTTCCACTATTTGAGTAGAGCTGTTTACGGCTCCCCTCTGTGCACTCTTATATCCTCAAAAAGCAAAGTTTAGCACAGTCTGGGCTTTATTCTGAGATTTTCTTTCTTCCTTACAGCAAGATGGCCTCTACACTACCTGATGATCCAATCAGCTTCGTGTTCCATTTCCACAAGAGTACGTGTTCCGGGAGGGCAATGAAATTTTACCTGTTGATCAAAATTTGATGGCACACTTATGAAGGGTTGGTAGTCTATGTGTAGCCACTATTCTCTGCCATCATTTTCAGTAGTGCATACCTTTCCAGTATGCGGTTAGGCCATTATGTCTTAACCACTTCCCTGCATGGATCTTTAGGTCGGTTTTGCTTTTTCATTATTATAAAGTGATGCAAGGAAGGGAGCATTTGTGGTTAAATCTTTACATTCATCAGACGTTACAATGAATTCGATCCCTGCTTTGTTTAGCGCCAAACATATTTTAATTTTGTTCTCAATTAGCTTTTTTATATAGCAAACCACCCCCAAGATGTAATGGCTTCAAACAACAAATGTATTGGCTTAGAATTTAGCCCACAATTCTGTGAGCTGGCTCGTCTTGCTCTTCCAATCTGGGCCGCTCAGCTGATTTCTGCTGGGCTGTCTCGTGCATCTGTGGTCAGCTGGTGGGTTGGCTGAGGAAGGATGCTCTAGGGTGGCCTCACTCATGTGTCTGGAAAGTCGCAGGCTATTTCCTGGGGCAATGGGTCACATGTGTCTAGGTCACACCCTTTTATCTGTCAGGTTACCCTGCCTTCTTTACATGGTAGTAGTGGCGGGGGTTCCCGGGGCAGCAAGAAGGCAAGCCCCTGTGTGGAAACACCTTTCAAGCCTCTGTTTGCATCCCTTTTGCTGACATCTCTGGCCAAAGCCAGTCATGTGCCAGCTCAGAGTCAGTGTGGGAGGGCTCTCCCGAAAGGCATGGAGAGAGGAGGGGAATAATTTGGGTCGATTTTTTGCAATCCACCACAGCCAATATTTCTAAACTGAGATTTTTGGGCCCTATTGAAAAACAACCTTTGGCTACTCTGGAACTCTGTCCTTGAATCACAATAACAGGCAAGCCTTTTCTAGCATGCCACGGTCCTTCCCATCGCCCACCCCACAGTATCTATATCCTTTACTCAGCTCCTTCCACCTGCTCGGCCACACATATGTTTATGTTGATGGCCTCTAGATCATAAACATATAGACATATAGCCATGATGATGCTTAGCATAATCTCCTAGAAGTGGAATTGCTGGGCTTAAAGTATGAATAACACTTTTAAAAACTTTTGACTTTTTAACACTTTTTAAGACCTTTAAAAACGTATTTTAGGGATGGATGTGGTGGTCCATGCCTATAATCCCAGCACTTTGGAAGGCCGAGGGGGGCGGATCACTTGAGCTCCAGGAGTTCAAGACCAGCCTGGGAAATATTGTGAAACCCTGTCTCTACTAAAAATACAAAAATTAACCAGCCGTGATGGCCAGCACCTGTAATTTCAGCTACTTGGGAGGCTGAGGCAGGAGAACTGCTTGAACACAGGAGGCGGAGGTTGCAGTGAGCCAAGATCGCACCACTGCACTTGAGTCTGGGAGACAGAGCAAAACTCTGTCTTAAAAAAACTAAAAAAATTTGACTACCTTTGCTCTAGAAAACATAGGGTATCTGGTTTAAATGCCAGTTAGTTCCACTAGGCTTTGGTGGCCCACTGTGAAAGTTGCTGTTGGATGTACACACACGCGCACACACACACACACACACAGAGTCCTGAGGCAGTAGGATGAGTCTGTCTTCATCCCTTTCTCTGGGGAGTTCTCCAGGTGTGGTAGCTTTGGATAGAGCCTCCCCTCATTCAGTTATTCAGCAAACACTCAAGCAGAGGCTACTACATGCCAGTCACTCTGTTAAGCAGGGAGGTGAAAAGGTTACTAATAAATACACAGTTCCTCTTCTCCAGGAACTCACTGTTTGACCAATGAGACAGACGTGAAGCTCTAATTACAACAACATGCAATCA